AATGCTTCTCCCAGAAGCAGAGGCAAGGAACTGGGAGGGAAGGGGAGGTGGATGACAGGAATGCAGGGGACAGGGCTGACTAGAAAGAAATCCTGAGAGTGGGGCAAAAAAAAAAGCAAAGACGGTCAAGGCTTTGGGGACATCAGAGAAGGGATGGAGAAAGAGATGAGAGGCAGGGGTGGGAGGGGACCCAGAGCCTGAGACGCCGGCTCTCAGAACACACAAGTGGGAAGAGGCGAAGATACGAGGCCCAGAAGGGGCCGCAGAAGTCTGGGGGTCGAGGGGAGGAGGCCCACAGTTCGGGCTCGACAAGCGACGGGCGTCCAAAGGCTGGGGGCGCAGTGGCAGCGGGGCGGGGTGCCCGGAGAGCCACGGACGGCCGCAGCCCGCCCGGGCCCGAGCGACGGGAAGCGACGGCCGCCAGGTCGATGGACCCCCTGCGCCTCTCGCCCCGCACTCCACTCCCCGCCGGGCCTCGCGCACCAGGCTCGCGGCTCGCCTCAGCCGGGGCCCGCGGCTCTCCCGCCTCCGCCGCTCCGCCGACCCACTTCCCAGGACCCGGACTGACCTGTCCCGGCTGCCCCCCGCGCCGCCGCCGCCGCCGTCCCACAGGCTCCGCAGGCGCCTCCGGCTCCTGCCAAAACTTTTCCCATTAATCCCCGGCTCCGCGCGGCGGCCGCGACTCCCGCCTTCAATTTTTCCCAGCATCAGGGTCTTTTCCAGTGAGTCAGTTCTTCACATCAGGTGGCCAAAGTATTGGAGTTTCAGCTTCAGCATCAATCCTTCCAATGAATATTCAGGACTGATTTCCTTTAGGATAGACTGGTTGGATCTCCTTGCAGTCCACGGGACTCTCAAGAGTCTTCTCCAACACCACAGTTCAAAAGCATCAATTCTTCGGCCTTCAAGAGGCTTCTGTAACTAGAAATTTGGACTTCCCTGGTGATTCAGTCGGTAAAGAATTCAGGTGTAATGCGGCGACCCGGATTTGATTCCTGGGTGGGGAAGATTCCCCTAGAGTAGGAAATGGCAACCCACTCTAGTATTCTTGCCTGGGAAATCCCATGGACAGAGGAGCCTGTCGAACTACAGTCCCTGGTGTTGCAAAGAGTCGGACACGACTGAGCGACTAAACCACCACAACTAGAAATTTATGGTTCTGGATTTCTTACTTATCTTCTCACTTATCTAAAATACTTACGCTGTAAATGGGGAACATCCTTCCTCCTGTTGTAGAAAATTTTGTTGTCCCTATTTAACCCAGGTCTTTAGGACTTGGAAGGGACCTGTCATCCCAACCTTCAGATATACCATAAAAAGGTACTTAGCAGGGAGGTCCCTGGTGGTCCAGTGGCTAAGACTCTGCTCTCCCAATGCAAATGGGCTGGATTTGATTCCTGCTCGGGGAACTATATCCTGCGTGCAGCAACTAAAGATCCAGTGCAGCCGTAAATGAATTTTTTTTTTTTTTAAGTACCTAGCAGCTGGGATGCAGTCTTTAAAAAAAATAAATAAATATTTATCGGCAGACGGATTCTTGACCACTGGACCACCTGGGAAGTCCCTGGAAGGCAATCTTATGAAAGAGATTAGATTTGTCATCTGGAGATGAACAAACCCTGTAGGTATATTATCTCCTCTCCATCATCTTTAACATAAAGGTTACACTCCGCTCTCTCATATACTCCCCAGGCTACACCCTCAGATATCTGGTTAATAGAACTGAGTGATTTTTTTCCCTCTGCTTCTCTCTTTCCCCACCCCACCCCCACTTTGTGAAATGAATGTGCAATACTTTTGTAATTCAAACATCAACCTCCTTGCCTTTGAGATGGAAGGAAGAATGGGTTATGAAGTCAAAGCCTTCCCTAAGATTTCTGCAAATTTTTGGGGCATTTATATTCTCATAAATCTCTCTGCCTCCAGGCTTCAGCTTCTGCGAGGCTGTTGCAGTCACAGTTCAGAAATGTAGAGATGAAACTCAGCCCTTCCTGAGAACTGCCCAAACCTCTTCCCACACAAAACATTCATGGGTATAGATGGTATGATGCTCTGGGCCCTGGGGCGGGATCACATGACGCATTGCAAATAGTTTAAACTCACACAGTGGACATTCTTCATAAAGTTGAAGTTTTCTGATTGGCTCTTTTCCCCTTAGGGCCTGGCCTTTTCCCAAATTACTACCTCTCCTCCCTGCCCCACCATTCTCCCTTCTGCCCCACTGTGTCCAGAGAAAAAAACAAATCCCTGTGGCTTTCTAGGCGCATCTCTTCATTGCTAGGGTTCCTGCCAACATTCAGGCCCTGAAGATCTCACTTCCTTCCTTTAAAAGACTCATTTCCCCTAAAGACAACTCCTTCTCTAAAAGAAATTCTGGGAACACTGTTAAGATAGTATATTTTTTATTCCTTTTTTTTTTTTTAAACTTGCCGCAAGTCACGTGGGATCCTGGTTCCCCCACCAGGGATTGAACCAATATTCCCGATATTGAAAGCATGGAGTCCCAACCACTGGACCACCAGGGAAGTCCCAGGGATGGTACATTTTAAACCTCCCTTCACTTTTATACTAAAAGGATGTGTATGTATATATATATTTGTATATATATGTATGTGTGTATATATATATATATATATTCACCTAAATCAGTTAGCTTCTGTTGCTTGAGTCCAAAACAGACCAATATAGCTTCCCCAGATCTTCATTTTGACTAGATTTGCCTACAGGCACAGCTCACAGTGGGAAAATTTGGTTCCTGCCAAGGCTTTTCAGACCAGCCAGAGAGCTGAGCTACGAAAACCTGCTGTGATGCCCAATTACAGTGTAAGTGAATGGTAACTTACAGTGTGGAATAAGGCTAGACCTGCTTTGAATTGTTGGATCCGGTCGCCTCCACAGCCATTTCAAGATCCAGCCGGCAGGTGGAGTCCTCCTTGGCCTCCTGAAATCGGCCTCCTCATCCCTTCTCTGTCCTTCTCAGCTACAGCAGGGGCCAGAGAGGCATCACTGAACTGGCGTCTCTTCAGCCTGGAGTGACACTGGGCTTGAGAAATAGGTGTTTTACATACCCTGACAACAGTTTGCAAAAAGCCTGTTACATTCCAGCCCTTCCAGTCCATTACCCGACCTCCCCAACCCTCAGAGTGGTGACCTGGGGCCGCAATGACTGCACTTTGCACCTGGCCCCAAGTTTATAGGTATCTTTGAAGGCATCAGAGATTGGATACATTCTCCTTTGTCCAGGATATTGGTAAGGTCAAAAGTGTTCTTTTCTAACCCTGCAATTAAAAGACAGCAAAATATCTTCTCCTGCTCCTAAAAATGTCCCCCAGGACTGACAGCTTCTCATGCTAGTCCCGATTCAGGGTGGTCTTTTCCCTGCCTTGCTGCAACCAGCAACACCTCCTGTTCCCATCATAGAATAGTCAAAAGGCAGGAATGGACTCCGTTTACAGGTGAGGAGACTGAGGTTTAGAGATTGTCCTGCCACCTCAAGTCTAAACACTACCTGGCTTCCAAGAATATCTCATTAGTTCCCATTCTATCTTTCTAGTCACAGTCCTTTATAGTTAGTAGTCTTCAAAATTTTTGCCCCTCTACCCCTAAAAGAACATATAAGAACTAATGCAGTTCCTTGCACATTCTTAAGGTGACATCTACTGTTTTTCATATTGGTTTAAAACAGTTGCAGAGAATGGATGTAATTTCTACCAGTTTATAAACATTAACATTTTATATATATATATGGGCGGGCATATGTACTTAGTTGTGTCTGACTCTTTGCCTCTCCATGGACTGCAGTCTGCCAGGTTCTTCTGTCCATGGAATTTTCAAGAATATTGGAGTGGGTTTCCATTTCCTACGCCAGGGGATCTTCCCAACACAAGGATCAAACAAGTATCTCTTGTGTCTCCTGCACTGGCAAGCGGGTTTTTTACCACTGTGCCACCTGGTGCGCCATAAAACTACTATATTACCCTTTTAAATGTGCTGAATAAGACTCAAATCCCATAGTGAACAAACAGATAAACAACAAGGACCTACGGTATAACACAGGGAACTATATTCAATATCTTATTGGAAAAGAATTTGAAGAGAATATATATATATATATATTATAGCTGAGTCACTTCGCTGTACATCTGAAATCAACACAATGTTGTAAATTAACTGTCCTTCAATTTCTTTAAATGGTAGAAAAAAGTATCAAGGTCAAGACAGTAAAAAAAAAAAAAATGAACAAGTTCTTCAGCAATCAAAAATTTTACATTATCTCCTTTTCTCCTTATACTTGTATTTCCATTCTAGCCCCCCATTAAAAATCTAACCTTAGGGAGTTCCCTAGTGGTGCAGTGGTTAGGACTCTGCACGCTCACTGCCAAGGGCCCAGGTTCAATCCCAGGTGGAGGATATGAAGGCCTTAGCCATGGCAATAACCATGGGGTTAGAGATGGAGGGATAAATATGAAACCATGAAGGAGAGAGAATTGGCTGGATTTGATGATGGATTTTTCATAAGGGGGTGTCAGGGAGGGAGCAAGTTATCCTAGATTCCCAGATCTCTGTCTTAGGTAGTGAGGTAGGTAATCAGGCAATATGGGAAAGAAGCAAGTCTGGAAGGTTTTAGGCAAGTTACCTGACCTCTCTGAGCCTCAGTTTCCCCATATGTAAAAAGAATAATAATATCCATCTCTCAGGGTTGCCATGACAAATAACCTGAGAAATTTCCAGACACCGAATATATGCTCAATAAAGACTTTTGGGTGATACCAATAGTGGTGCTTTCTCATGTGCCAAACACTTAATCCTCAGAACAACCCTATAAGGTAAGCCCTATTTTATCAACATGGGAACTGAAGCACAGGGAAGTGAAGAAACTTGACCAAAGTCACCCAGTTGGTAAGTGGCAGAGTGGACTTTCATATTCTTCCTGGGATCTATAACTGGACTTAAGAAGCGAGAAAGTGGTAGGAGAGATAGACAACAAACCTGCTGCATAATTTATTCCAATAGCAGTTTTTATTCGGAAATATGCCTCCAAACTTGGTGGCAGTCTGGGGACAGGTGGTCCCTGGCTTGCTCGTTGACTCTCTTTCCCAGCCCAGGGCATAGGGCCCTTGGAGTTAAGGCACAGGGTCAAGTCCTCAAGGATCAACATCCCTGACAGCCTCAGGGGTCTGAGGCCTGGGGCTGGTGCAAAAGAAAATGAGCCAGGTTCCAACCCGGGCTGTGTCATGGTCCGAGGGCCTGGGCCCCGGGTGCCAGGGCTGCAGCTCCCTCTGTTGCAGAGGCTGGTGTCACCCACAGACCAGCTGTGGCCAGGTCCTGGTAGACATGAGATTGGGGGCAAGAGGCTGGCAGAGGTTAGTTTTCTGGTGCCGGGTCCAGTTTATCTTCCTGAGGCGCAGAAGCTGAGCTGGGAGCGTCTTCCCCACCATTGAGGGACTTCTGCTGCTCACTGCTGCTGGGTGAGGGGGTCTTGTTTTCACGGGATCCCCAGCGAGTCAGGCGCTTTAGGGAGGAGTCGCGGCGGGCAAGTAGAGGGGCCTGAAAGCCTGTGAAGGAGCTGCTGGTGGTGGGACGTTTGTCTGCCGGAGAAAAGGCAGGTATGAGGAAGCAGAAGGTGTGTGCGAAGGGGAAAAGTGGAGGGGCTTCACTTCAGCCCTCAGGGGAGAGGAGCACCCCCTGATCTGCAATGCCCTGCTGGCTCTGCAGATGTGGGGGTCTCCCCTCCTCCCTCCCTTGTCCCTCCCCATTCCAAGGAAAGCTCCAGGGTCTAACCCTTCTCACCTCCAGGTTTAATTGGATGCATGAGCCGGTTCATCTGGACATTCCAGTGCTTCACGTTGGTACTAGCCTGGCGCAACTTCTGCTGAGCAGCCTGCGGGGACAGGACCAGTGGAGAGTGGTCAGAGCCACCATCCAAGACAGCAAGTCTCAACCTTTTCAGGTTCACAGGCCCCTTAGGATCTGACAAAGGCTATTGATCATCTTCCCAGAAAAACTCATGTATGTTCATAAAGAGCTATGTGTATGAACAGAGTTGGCCTCCAATTTCAGGGGACTCAAAGACCATCAAATAGTCAAAAATAATTATAAGTATAGTTTCCACTTATCAAGCAGCTAAAATGTACTAATATCTTACTTAACTTCCAGAGAAGAAGGTAAGAAACATTCAAAAGAGGTTAAGTGACTTGCCCAGGGACAAACATGGAGCCCTGAACAACTGTGTCACACCACCCATCCAGGACCTGATGCGAAAACCTCTGCTCCAGTGTTCATCTAGCCATTAGCAGTGGCTGTGGGGTAAGGAGTCATAGAGGAATTTTCTCTTTTTATGATACTTATTTCTGTGTTTGAGTTTTTTTTAAAAGACCATATATGCCAACAAAGCAAAATAAAATAATGAATACTAATAAAAATAAAACATCAAAAGTTTGTCTTTTTTCTTAAATTGTCTATGGAGATTTGGGCTCCAAAGAGTGGAACCAAAGTGCAGGAATAGCAAAGTAGGGGCTGGAAGAGTAGGAGGAAAAAAATTTTGCCCAGATTAATAACAATGATAAAGACAGCAGTTAATATTTCTTCAGTGCTTACTGAATATTAAGTATCACACGCTATCTTGTTTAATCTTCATAGCAATGCAATTACCAGTCCCCTTTCCCAGATGAGGGACTTGAGCTCAGAGAGGTTAGGCCATTTGTCAGAGGCCACACAGTCAGGCCACGGTAGAGCCTGAGGGACGGCGCGTCAGGGAAGGTTCCAGAGCCTGTGCACTCACCCTGCCGCCTGCAACCTGTTCCACCCTAGGCCTCACCTCCACATCCTCGTCGGCCCTCTGCCGGTTCTGCCGCACCTCCTCCAGCTGCTGCTGGGCCTGCTGCAGAGAGCGGCTCTGCAGGGCCATCTCCTGCTGCAGCTCCTGCTTCTCCTGCTGCGCCCGCTCGATGTATCGTTCCTGTTCCTCCTTCAGCTGCAGCAGCTGCTTCAGCTTCTCCTCCTCCTCCTCCAGCAGCCTGCGGGGTGTCCAATGTGTCACCTCCGGGCCGAGGCACCTCACACGGTGCTTGACAGGTGGGAGGGTGGGGGCGTCAGGGAGGGAAGGCAGAAGGGGCCGCCTGGTCCTACCTGGTCTGGGCGAGGCGCACGGCCTCCTCGTCCTGCCGAGCTTTCACCTCCAGCTGTAGGGCCTCCTGGAGCCTCTGCTGCATCTCCTCCAGCTCCTTGATGCGCTGCCGCTGCCGGGCAGCCTCTTCCTTCTTCAGCTCCATCTCAGCCTGCATGGAGGCCCGGGCCTGCATGGGGACACGGAGCAGCCAGGTCAGCAGGGGCCCTGCGGAGGAAGGCTGCGGGTATGCTGCCCTTTCCCCAGGGCTTTGTGAGGCCAGCCCAGCTAGTTATCTCTGGATGAGGGTCTGGGGAGTTCCCTCATGTCAGGTTTTCCTGATCTGATCCCCTTCTGAAAACCTGACTAGGTCAGATATAAGGATCAGTAAACTACATGGGGAAAAGGGGCTCAAGTCATCCCCTTTTAGCACCAGCCTTAATAGTTATTATTATACTTTGTAATATAATGTTTTATAATTATAATTAGGCTAGTGCTAGCAAGGGAACGACTATAATTATAATTGTTAGAGCAATTGTAACTCAAAAGTATTTCCTTAGTTGATTCCCCTTTCCACACCTCTATAAGCCAAGTTCTACTGGCATCAACATGTCACAAGTAACTGAGGCACAGAAAGGCCAAGTAACTTACCTGAGATCACAGGGTTCCTAAGAGGCAGAGCTGGTATGGAACCCACAGTGTCTCAACTCCAGATCTAGATCTCTTTAAATCTTAAATCTAATTGCCTCTATACCTCTAGTCCGTCTCCAGGTTCATCCCGTCTTCCTCCCATCCTACCTTCTCCAGACTGGCCTATTATAAATTCAGAGCAAGTCTAGTCCCATATAGTCCAGCCTCGGTCCAAATTCATCCCCAGACACAAGGTCTTCAGCAACTCCTCTGTCAAGGTCCCGCCCCCCAGCCAGCCAAGGTCTCCCAACTTGGCTTCATTCTACACCTATCACTCCGCTCCATCCTTCCAAATTCGTAGGCTCGGGCCCCGCCCCACATCATCTCTCCTCTCAAGCCACCCTTCGGCCAGGTTCCTTACCCCATAGGCCCTGTCCCCATTCCACACCTATCTGTCCTCCCCCAAAATCCCTCAAGACAAGCCCCGCCTCCACGCTCATCCCTCAGGGGGTGGCCCCGCCCCCAGCCCAGGCCCCGCCCTGTCCCCGCCCCCCGGCGCTCAGCACCTGGCGGGGGCCTCACCCCTCGGCCCACCGCCTCCTCCCGGGTGCAGCCGCACCTGCTCCGCCTCGCGCAGCTGGACCTCGAGCGCCTGCTGGAGCTCCCGGTGCTGGCTGCGGCGCCGCTCCTCCTCCTCCTGCATCAGGCGCTCCGCCTGCCGCTGCGCCTCCTGCAGCAGCTCCAGTTCCTGAAGCTTCCTCTCCTTCTCCTCCTGCAGCTGCTGCAGCCGCAGCATCTCCTCCTCCTTGGCGGCCCGGCGCCTCTCTCGCTGCTCCCTCTGCTCGCGCCGCTTCTGCTTAAGGTCCTTGTGCAGCGACGTCTTCCCCTCTGCCTGCAGCCGGATCGCCGTCTGGATGGCTGTGGAGGGAGCGGGAGGGGCTAGCCGGAGACAGGGGGGCCTCGAGGGGGTCCACTGCCAGAAGGGGGCCTTTGGAGTGGCTCCTATCCTGCTGGGCAAAGTGCTCTCACTCCCTTTTCACCGATGAGGCGACTGGGGCCCAGCCCGGTCCAGGACACCCCGTGAGCACTCACCAGCTGTCCACTCCTGGCGCTGGCGCGTGTCAGAGGCGCTCATCTCATAGGTGCGGGAGGCAGTCTTCACACAGAACATGCAGCGCTTCCCCTCTCGGTCGGGCAGCACCTGGGAGAAGGCCCAGACAGGCTGGCTTCACTGGGGCCACACCTGCCCCAGGGGGGCTCCAGCTCCAGCCCCTTCCCCCTTGGCTGATCATCTCCTCCTGGCACCCATTCCACCCACTCTGCCAGGAGCCTGCGTGGCCTGGTTTGGAGGTTAGTGTCCCCACAACTCTTAGAGCCTTTGCTCTTTGAAGGTGGGACAGCTCTCCTCTTACTATCTCTCCATGGGGCCTATACACAGTGACCACTCATTGTTTATCCGGATCAGGGCTCAACATCTCTCATGACAGGGTCCTCACTAATGAGACCATTCATTTCCACAGGCGCCTGCCTGCTGAGAAAGTTCTCCATTCATTCATTCCACGGATATTCTGTAGTGTCTACAGGCCACTCATTGCTCCGGGCATATGGGATACTACTAAGATGTGCCTAACAGATCAAATCCCTGCCTTGCCTAAGCTTACATTCTAGTGGAAAATAATAGGTACCACGTACTGAGCTTCATGTGTTCTAGAGTCTGTACCAGGCAAAGATTATTAGCTCCATCTTACAGAGAAAGAAACTTGAGGCTCTAAGAGGTCCAGGAACCTGCCCGGTTCACAATGCATGTTAGTGGTGGAGCTGGATTTCTGCCTAGATCTGTGCTCTTTCCACAATGATAACTGTTTCCTTACATGACAAAGATGGACATAGCCTAGAATGGCTATAATAATATTTTTCATGTAAAATAACAAGTGTTATTGAGAAATTGGAGCTTTCATTTACTACTGGTGAGAATGTAAGATGGTACAGCCACCAAGGAAAAGAATTTGGCTGCTCCTCAAAAATTAAACATAGACTTACTGTATGATCAGCAATTCTACTCCTAGGTATCTGCCTTGAGAAAAGAAAATATATATCCACCCAGAAACTTGTACATGAATGTTCATAACAGCATTATGCATAACAGCAAAATGATGGGAACCACCTAATAACCACCAATGAATGAATACATAAACAAAATATGGTCCCTCCATACAGTGAAATATTTTTCAGTCATTAAAAGGAATGAAGTCCTCATCCATGCCAAAACATGCTTGAAAATGTTATACTAAATGAAAGAAGCCAGGCACAAAAGGACAAATAGTGTATGATTCCACTTATACAAGGCTCCTAGAATAGGCAAATTCCTAGAGGTGGAAAGCAGAGTAGAGCTTACGGGGATTGGACGGAAGGGAGAATGTACCCATTACTGCTTAATGGGTACAGAGCTGCTATTTAGGATAATTTAAAAAAAAAGCTTTGGAAATAGAGAATCGGGATGGTTACATGTGAATGTAGTTAATGTACTTAATACTACTGAATCGTAACACAAAATGGTTAAAATAGCAAATTTCATGTTATATATATTTTTTTTACTACAGTTTTTAAAATTGTTGCTTTAAGCCTCTAAAATAATGGACAGAGTCAAAGGAGGAAAAGGGATAGGAAAAGAGAAAGAATAGGGAAATATAGAGTGGCCAAAGTGAAAGCGTTAGTCACTCAGTCATGTCTGCCTCTTTGCAACCCACGGACTGTCGCCCAACAGGGTCTTCTGTCCATGGGATTCTCTGGGAAAGAATACTGAAGTGGGTTGCCATTTCCTTCTCCAGGGGATCTTCCCAACCAGGGATCAAACTTGGGTCTCCTGCATTGCAGGCAGCTTCTTTACCATGTGAGCTACCAGGGAAGTCCTTATCTGGTCTGTTGCCAAAGGGAATGGAATTTGGGTGAAGGAGAAAGAACTTTAAAGAGAACTTTTAGAAAATTTTGCTGGATAGAATGAGTCATAAATTATCGCCTCTGAAATCTTTAGCAAAGTCCACATCATTCACCATTGACTTTAGTATTGGATTTGATTTGCAGTTGTTTTTTTTTTTAAAGTGCTGACACAAGCAATCTAAAACAACAACAACAAATGAACAAACATAATGAAACCTAAATAGAGTTACAGTTTCAGAGAAAAAAACAAGATTTGTTTGCCAGAGGGTAAGGGGTGTAGGAAGAGGGAAGAAAAAGTTGAGGGATATTAAGTGGTGCAAACTTCCAGTTGCAAAATGTGAGTCATGGGTATAAAATGAATAGTGTGGGGAATATAGTCAATAATTTTGATGACATAGTTATCTTTGTATGGTGACCTATCATAAGTAGAACTACCGTGGAGATCAGTTTGAAAAACACAGAAATATTGTGTAATGAATTAACATAGTGTTGCAGGTCAATTATACTTCAAAAACAAACAAACATATCCGTAGAAAGAGAGATCAGATTTGTGGTTACCGAGAGGTGGGAAGGGTGGTTGTTGAGGGGATAGGAGAGGAGGAATTGGATGAAGGCGGTCAAAAGGTACAAACTTCCAGATATAGAATAAGAAAGTTTACTAGGGATGTAACATGCAACATGAAAAATATAATTAACACTGCTGTAGATTATATTAATATATGAGGCTTCCCGGGTGGCTTAGTGGTGAAGAATCTGCCTGCCAATGCAGGAGACTCAGGTTCTGTCCCTGGGTTGGGAAGATCCCCTGGAGAAGGAAGTGGCAACCCACTCCAGTATTCTTGCCTGGGAAATTCCATGGACAGAGGAGCCTGGTGGGCTACGGTCCACGGGGCCACAAAAGAGTCAGATGCAACTTAGCAACTGCGTGTATGCTAAGTCCCTTCGGTCGTGTCCCACTCTGCAACGCTATGCCCGCCAGTCTCTTCTGTCCATGGGGATTCTCAAGGCAAGAATACTGGAGTGGGTTGCCATCCCCTCCTCCTGAGGATCTTCCCAACCCAGGGACTGAACCTGCATTTCCCGTGGCTCCTGCATTGGGGGGTGAATTCTTTACGGATAAGTCACAGGGGAAGCCTAAACAACAACAAATGTTATATATAAAAGTTGTTGAGAGAGTAAATCCTAAGATTACTCATTACAGAAAAAAAAATTTTTCTATTTAATTTTGTACCTATATGAGGTGACAGATGTTTACTAAACTTACTGTGCTAATCACTTTATGATATGTATAAGTCAAATCACTATGCTGTACACCTTAAACTTACACAGTGCTGTATGTCAATAATATCTCAAGGAAACTGGAAGGAAAAAATAAAGCGTGTTACTTTTCTAAAAGAAAAAAAAAGTGCTGACATGGCTGAGAATGGCCTTGAGGCACTCAGGTATACAGTTGACCCTTGAACAGCTCAGGGGTTAGAAGTGCCAACCTCTGCCTGGTCGAAAATTCACTTATAACTTTAAAGTCAGCCTGGTGGCTCAGACTGTAAAGAATCTGCCCGCAATGCAAGAGACCTGGGTTCGATCCCGGGGTTGGGAAGATTCCCTGAAGAAGGAAATGGCTACCCATTCCAGTATTCTCGCCTGGAGAATTCCAGGACAGAGGAGCCTGGTGGGCTACAGTCCATGGGGTCGCAAAGAGTTGGACACCACTGAGTGACTTTCACTTTCAGTATTCCAGTTCTGCATCTGCAGATTCAACCAACTGTGGATGGTGCAGTACTATATGTATTTATTGAAAAAAAAAATCCATGTATAAGTAGACCCAGCAAGTTCCAACCCATATTGTTCAGGGGTCAGTTGTATTTGGGTTGCACTCATCTAAGCAGGAATCTTAGGTGGGGAAGTCACTGGGGCTTCCCGCCTTGCCCTCCTCCTGACCCCTTGCCCTCAGGCTACACTAGGGCCCCTCCGGCCGAGCTCCAGTAGGCACTCCACCCCTTCAGCTGCCGCCTCACCTCCACGCAGCACTGCGCATCCAGCGGGATCATACCCCTCTTCTCCTTGCACTCTTCACTCCCAAAATAGCAGAGGCAGCTGGGCTGCAGCTGGAACCAGCGTTCTGCCCAGTTCCTCCGCAGGTGCCCTCGTTTCCACAGGTAGCCCTGCCAGAGCCAGAGCCAAGTCAGAGGCGTCCTTGGCCCCCACCCCCACCCTTCTTGGGGTCCGCCCCTGGTCCCCAGCTGGGCCTGACCTGCTTTAGGACGTCCTGGATGAGCTCCTGGTAGACCTCATGGATGGCCATGCTGAGCGTGTCCCGCCCCACACCTCGCAGACAGCGGCCTGAGTTGAAGAGCTCCAGGAACTGCCAGACGCTGAGCCCCCCGCTGCTCTGGGCTGCCTGGGCCTCCTGAGCCAGCAGCTCCTCCAGCTCCCCCAAGCCCACCTCCAAGCTCATGCTGCTGAGCACCTTCTTCAGCAGGTATTCCACCTGGAGGGCAGGAGGGAAGGCGTGGTGGCCACAGCAGGTGGTGTTGCTGGTGTCGACACCAGGGGTCGCTACCATCAGGCTCCCAGAGCTGGGACAGAAGTGACCACGGACAGGGGTTGGCAGGTTTGGGGGGTGGATGCGTGGCAGAGGACTAAATGACTAAACGCTGGTGGGCTCCTGAGTAGAGATTTGGGAGGGGATCCTGGGGCCCCAACTTCAATTCAGACATCCACTCCCCAAGCTCCAGTCCTTGCTACCTTGAATTAAGGGCACGATGAGGTGGGAGCTGAGGACTGGGGGCCAGGCAGAGACAGGGAATCATAGAAAACGTCAGCGGGGAACAAGGGCCCTCTCGTTCAATCTCCTCACTCTGCAGATGACAAAACTGAGGTTCAAGTGGCGGGGGGGGGGGGGGGGGGAGTGACTTGTTTTGAATCACACAGCAAGTTGGTAGCAGCCAGAACTCAATTCAGATCGACACCCCATGAGTCCTTATTCCAAGCCCCCAGCCCCAGCCCTGGGGATCGTTCCCTTGTCAGAGGGCAAGGGGACGGGAGGTGGGAGCGAGCAGGGCAGAGACAGGAAACCTGTTTCAGAGGAACAGGAAGTGGTGGTTGGGGTACATCCTGCTGCAGTTTGCTCACACTGCGTGTTGATCACAAAAGCGACAGCTTTCTGGCCTCGGAGAGGCCACCTCGCCCTGCTGGCAGGGGTCTGACAAAGGTACCCAGCCAGGTGTCTGTCTGTGAAGACAGACACATGTCCTTCTGCTGCCCCAACAGCTTCTTGGAAGACTCTCTGCAGGGCTTTCACTCTGGGGGCTACTGGGTCTTTGTTGGGAGTGGGGTGGGGGCACCCCCACTCTTCCCACAGACAGAAGCGAGGGCACAAACCTGAATGCAGTTAGACAGGCCAAGACCTCTCGTAAATAGAGGACCCCCCCCTTCCCTGCCCATTGTGCCGTACTCAAAAGACCTAAATTTGCCCTGGGATCTTTACCACCACCAGAGGGCAGAAGGGGTCAGGGAAGGCTGAGTGGACAGGGAGTGGGGGAGTGGAGGGAGGGGGCAGGCTGGTTGCCAAAGGGGTCACCTGCCCCGGCTTCACCCATGAATTGAGAAGGTAGAAGCTGGGTTCTAGGCTGATGTTCCCAGGATGCCCTCTCTCTGGGGTCTGAGCTGAGTCCGTCCTGGCTCCCACCTATATTGCAGGAGACAGGAAGAGAAAATCTGGAACCAGGGTGAGACTTGGTTGCCCACTTGGGAGTGACTGGAGAGGTGTCCCTGGAAGGTCTCTATTCCCCTAAAATAGCATTCTTCTCAGTTTGCCCCAGGGCCTGAAACCCTGCCATTTGATTTTAAATGTTTTCATCTCAAAACGCTCAGCAGTGTATCAGGCATTCACACCTCTGTGTAAAGAGATTGCAGAATCATTTTCCTACTGTGAGAGCAAGCAGAGCCTTGAAGGAGGTGTAGTTTTGGGTCTCCTGGGAGAAGGCATCATTGCTCTGACAGGGGCAGTTCGAGGTGTCTGGAGACGGGTGGGTGTGAACAGGTAGCCAGTGGAGAGAGAAAGAAGACAGAGGATGTGGGGAAGTCGAGAGACAATTTGGCCTCCTTCACGGTTTTGTTGAGGCCTGTCCCTAAGTGATAAAGTCCCTGGGGCTCACCTCATCAGGAACCATGATCAGAGGGTACTTGTCCTCAGACAGGAAGTTGAAGAGACACCAGAGACGGAAGGCATCCTGATTGGAGAGCATGTTGTTCCCGTTGCTATCCACCTGATAGTTCTTCTTCGCCGTCAGGGTCCAGCACAGCTCATCAAAGTGCTCCTTAACAAAAGCCCCCTCTTCCACCTGCCACCAGGCCTACAAGTCAGCTGCGAAGGCTGCCTTGTCCCAGCTCCACCACCCAACTAGACCCCAGCTGGCTTCTCAGGGTCATCTGCTTCCCTGCTCCCCACCCTGCCAATGCTGGGACTCTCGCCTGAATAATCCCCGAGCTGATGATCAGGGAGCTGTCTGGCCAACCAGCCCGACCCCCAAACCCCCAGCCCTGCCACACCCATCACTTCCGCGCATCCACATCCACCCAAGTTCCCGATCGATAGGGCAGCTCAGTCCCTCAGGCCGAGGAGAAAGAAGGGGAAGCCCAGGAGGAAATGAACAGTCAAGAAGAACTTGAGAAGACAGGGACAGCAAGGAGGAGTGGAGGGGACAGACTTAGCAGGGAGCTGGAAAGCGCTTGTGAAATGACAGCTGAAAGCTAGGCAAGGAGGGGTGAAGATCTTGGGGAAGGTGGAGGCTAGGATAGAGAGGAGGGAGCTGGAGTGAGTTTTAAGGGGGGCAGAGAGGGGGAAAGTGACGGGGATGTGAATGATGGAGATGGGGGACATGGGTGGCAGAGGGGACAGAGATGGAGTTCATGGAGGAAGGCATTGGGGTGGCAAGGAATTAGGGTGCTGGCCAGGTTGGGAAATGGAGAGAGGTGAAAGGGGCTTCACCTTGTCCAGGATGTACTTGTTGAGGTAGGGCATATATCCCTGGCTGGATACGGGACCATCGTCATCGTCTCGGAAGTGCTCCTCCAGGGCCACGGGGTCATGAGGAATGTGCAGGACTGTGTACAAGTTGTGGGACAGCACCTGAGACAGAGGGGCGCTTACCTTCCTGAGCCCCGGCCCGAGCTGGGCCACGGGGCTGCTCCCACCGGCCCTGTTGTCCTCACCCCCATCCTGGCTAAGTCTTCTACACATGTTGTTTAGTTCAATCATAACTAAAACTGCTCTCTCCCCCCTCTCTCTTTATATATATATGTACATATACACACACATATACATATATACACATATACACATACAATAAATAAAATAAAAAGTCCATCTAGTCAAAGCTATGGTTTTTCCAGTAGTCACGTACGGATGTGAGAGTTGGACTATAAAGAAAGCTGAGCACCAAAGAATTGATGCTTTTGAACTGTGATGTTGGAGAAGACTCTTGAGAGTCCCTTGGACAGCAAGGAGATCCAACCAGTCCATCCTAAAGGAAATCAGTCCTGAATATTCATTGGAAGGACTAATGCTGAACCTGAAACGCCAATACTTTGGCCACCTGATGCAAAGAACTGACTTATTGGAAAAGACCCTGATGCTGGGAAAGATTGAAGGTGGGAAGAGAAGGGGACAACAGAGGATGAGATGGTTGGATGGCATCACTGACTCAATGGACATTGAGTTTGAGTAAGCTCCAGGAGTTGGTGATGGACAGGGAGGCCTGGCGTGCTGCAGTCCATGGGGTTGCAAAGAGTCAGACATGACTGAGTGACTGAACTGAACACTTACAATAGAATGTAATTCAGTCATGAAAAACTGAATGAAATCTTGCCATTTGCAACAACATGGATGGACCTTGAGGGCATTATGCCAAGTGAAATAATCTGACAAAGACAGACAAATACAGTATGATCTCATTTATATGTAGAATTTTTTAAAAAGGGAAAAGAAGGGATTCATAGATACAGAGAGTAGATTGGTGGTTGCAAGAGGTATGGGGTGGTGAGTGAAATGGGTGAAGGTGCTCAAAAGGTACAAACTTCCAGTTTTTAAATACGTCATGGGAACATGATAGATATCATGGTAACCATAATGAGTAATACTGTATGCCATCTGAAAGTAGCTAAGAGAGTAGATCTTAAAAATTCTTATTGCAAAAAACACAATTTTTTTAAACCATGCATGGCAATGGATGTTAACTAGGCTTCTCATGATCATTTCACGATATATACAAATAAAGAATCATTACATTGTACACCTGAAATTAAAATGTCAATTATACCTCAATAAAAATCAAAAAAGTAAAAACATATGCACTTGCTATGCAACAAGAACTGTGCTCAGTACTTTGCATATATTTCCCTTAACGCCCAGAACAACTGTTAACATCCTCATTTGACAGATGAAAAAAACCCCTAGACTCTGAGATGTTCAGTAATTCACCCAAAGGCACAGAGCTGGCAGGGCTGGAATTCAAACCCAGGCAGCCATGCTCTTTGGCACTCATTAGGCAGGTGTGTCCTCTTTCTGCAGACAGGGACATGGAGGTTCAAGGGACTCAGTTACTTGTGCAAGGATTCAGTGAACAAGAGCCTAAGATTCCAATCCAGCTCAGCAGATCCCAAGGCTCAGGGGCGGAAATCTGACATCTACCGTCAGAGACTCGGGGTCAGGCTGAATTGGCCTGGAGTCCAGTGAGCCTGCTCCAGGAAAGGCGTGCTCAGTTCCAGAAACTGCCCTTCTAAAGGTGGAAGGGAGCTGGAGAGGGTGCAAAGAAGGGGCACAAGAAATGGTCCACGGGGTGTGGATGACAAGGCTAAAAGGGATGATGACAGGGGAAATGGGCAGGTTAACAAACCCATCATATTAGCACAAAGAGGTTGACGCTTGAACAAGGAGATCAGGAAAAAAATAAAACTGTCTTGGTGTAATTCTGCGATAGTACTTATCACAGAAAGTGTGAATGAGGAAAAACGGTCACCTACTCTGTGCCAGCCACTGTATGAGGTGCTTTCTATACCCCAGATCTAATCTCAGCGACTGTGATATCCAGACATTAGTGTCCCTGTTTTCCAGATGAAGATGCTCAGGCTTGGAGAAGTTCAGAATAAGTGGGAGAGAGACTTCCCTAGGGATCCAGTGGCTAAGACTAAGACTCTACAGTTCCAGCACAGGGGGCCTGGGTTTGATCCCTGATCAGGGAACTAGATCCCACATGCCACAACTAAGATCCAAGATCTCCCCCACCCCATGCCACAACTAGGACTTGGCATAGCCAAATAAACAAATATTTTTAAAAAGTAAAGAGCAGAGCTGAGGTTGGAAACAGGTGTTCCTGATTCTGAAGGCAGCTTCCCTATTAAAATATTGACGTCGCCTTCATCCCCCAACTATAAAGTAAACTCTGGAGACAAGGTCTCTGTTATCTTCCTGTCTCACAGCACCATGTCTCATCTGCACACCCAAGGTAGTCAATAAATGCTGTATTCAAGGGCTGCTTCAATACCAGCAGTTCACCTTGGAATCAGCTGGCGCAATACCTCCGAGCTGGAGTGCCTACTGTCTTGATTTCCTTATTGTCTTTTGTGAGAGGAGAGGGACAAGGGTTTGAGACTTTTCCCCAGTATTTCCCTGAGCCTCAGGTTCAACTCAGCAAGTGGGAAGTTGGGGGGCCCAGTGAGGGGATCAGTATTTCTCTTTTCCCTCACTTCCCCTGCCTGGGCGGTCATCTGTGGTCCCCACCCCAAACCCTCATTCCCATGATCTTCAAATTATCTCATGTGCCATCTATAGTTTTGCTTTTCTCTTATTCTAAAGGACATCTGAAGTTTCTTCCTGAGGAACTCTGCCCTCTTTATTTATTTTGGTAATGGAGCCTTGATTTTCCTTTGAGAAATACCTCTCCTCTATTTTCAGTATCTGTGGTATTAGCCGTTTGCACCCCTACCCCATCTGGCTGCAGGGGTGGGCACTTTTGAGTCACGGTATTTGGTTTGAGAATGCACATGACCAAATCTAGGCCACTGAGAAGCAGTCCTGGGATTTTTGCTTCCTCTAGTGGAGAAGAGGTATATTCTTTCCGTGGGTAAACCTGGACAGAGTTAAGGTGCTAGAAGATGGATGCAGCTAACATCTTTGTCCACCCTGAATATTCACTGGGAGGACTGACGCTGAAGCTGAAGCTCCAAAACTTTGGACATCTAATACATAGAGCTGACTCATTGGAAAAGACCCTGATGCTGGTAAAGATTGAAGGCATGAAGAGAAGGGGGCGGCAGAGGATGAGGTGGTTGGATGGCATCACTGACTCAATGGACATGAGTTTGAGCAAACTCTGGGAGATGGTGAAGGACAGGGAAGCCTGGCATGCTGCAGTCCATGGGGTTGCAAAGAGTCAGACACGACTGAGCGACTGGACAGCAACAACAACTACAGAGAATAATATCAAGCTATCAAGTCAAGGAATAAAGAGAGTCGTCCTCTGAGGACCTAGATCCAGCCAAGCCTGAAGTCAATACTATGCTTGGAGTTTCATTTATGTGAACCAAGATATATCTCCCTTAAGCTATTTTGAGTTTGGTTTCTACCACCTATAATCAAGAAGACATGATTAACACATCTATGGTCATAGGACACTAATCCACACTCCAAGAGGTGCCACTGCTAAATGCTTACACTTAAAACCCAGAGTGACCAGCACAAGAGAAATACCCACTTCTGAAGAGACAGGTGTTATTCTAAGTTTCACACACTTCTACCTGCTGTCTCCCGGCCTCTTTTCAAATTACCCATGTCTTTATGTTTCTTCAAGTTTCCTAGAGCACCTCTTTGGGGAAGCTTCCTGCATAGCCCAACCAAATGCTACACTCCAGTGAAGGGGGAAACATGGAAGGCCAGGGACCTTCACTCTCTAGTTGTGAGGCCTTGAATAAACTTCTTTACTCCCTGAGCCTCAGTTTCATTGTCAGTAAAATGGGATAATACCCACCACGCAGAGGGGCCATGAGAGTCGAGTAAGATGATATATAGATAGAGTGCCAGAGCAAATATAAGTCCCCTTCTTGTATAGTAAGTGTGATTTTCTTTTTTAACCTAATAAATTAACAAAGATGCAAAAGACTGATACTATCAAGTATTGAGGAGATTGTGGAGAAATGGGGATTCAAATGCCCTACTGTCAAGGTGTGAATCGGTAGTCTTTCTGGAGGGCAAAACTCTATCAGATGTAAAATTGGGCAATACCCCAGCATTTTTAATCATCCAACCTACAGATGCTCAAGGGAACAGAGCTACCTGTACAAGAATGCTCACTGAAGCATTGTTTAGAATATAAGACATTGGGAAATGCCTGGCAGTTCAGTGACTGGGGCTCCAAGCTTCCAGTGAGTGGGGCACAGGTTTGATTCCTCATCAGAGAACTAAGATCTTACATGCCCTGGCACAATCTGCCACCCTTCTCCCCCCAAAAAAGAACATCTAAGGCACTGGAGACAGCCTGAGTCTTCTTCAAGAGGGGACAGGTATACCACATCATGGATCTGCGTGCGGTTGAAAAATTTTACTTCTGCCACATGTGTGCTTATGGGCAAGTGATTTTTAACTTCCCCAAGACTTTAGTCTCCTCTTTGAGGAAAATAAGGGGGCCTGCTCCACGAGGTGTTTTAGAACAAAGTGCTCAGCACAGCACCTCGTACACAGTGCAATAAAAGTTGTGAGCTATTTTTATTATTATGTTTGTGTGAGCAGACATGGAAAGATGTGTATACTATACTGGCAGGTGGAAAAAGCACGCTCTAGAATGAAATATCTGTAAAATAATACGTGTGCAAATATTAGGTTGAACCATTTTTAATTGCCATTTGAGTAGGCCAAAACAATCAAATGTCAGCAATTTCATATGGTTCAATCTAATGTGTTTATTTGTACATAGAAAAAAAATCTAGAAGACTCAGCAACTGTTAACAACTATCACCCTACCACCCTCCCCAGGGAGGGGAGGGACTTTCACCTTCTTTAACACTATTTTTGTCTTTGAATTTTTTTTTACCAGTAAAACATATTTTACTTTTATAACAAATTTCAACTTCTTCAAA